GCCTGTAATCCCAGCACTTTGGGAGGCTGAGGCAGGCAGATCACCTGAGGTCAGGAGTTCAAGACTAGCCTGGGCAACATGGTGAAACCCTGTCTCTACTAATAATACAAAAATTAGCGGAGCGTGGTGGCACACACCTGTAATCCCAGCTACTCTGGAGGCTGAGGTAGGAGAATCACTTGAACTCGCGAGACTGAGGTTGCAGTGAGCCAAGATCATGCCACTGCAATCCAGCCTGGGGCAGACAACAGTGAAACCCCGTCTCAAAAAAAAAAAAAAAAAAAAAAAGTCAAATACAAGCATGAAGGACAAGCAGAAACTGGTCTCTTAGAAAGCAAAATAACATAGGTCTAGTTAACTATTCTGTAATTTTAGTCAATTGTTTAGATACTTCTGTGGCAGCTCACATAACCAAAGACATCTAGAAGTCCTGAGCAGGTTTTCAGGAGCCAAGTCTCCTAGTGGCTTTCCAGTCATGACAGGTCACTAATGCCAGATCTTTTGTGTCCACAATACCAGCAATACAAGCAACATGGGAGACCAATTGAATAGGAAAAAACAAAGTAATTCTTGATTTTGGCCTCAAACTTGATGGACTGAGTATTTCCATCACAGAAGTCAGAAAATGATTTTGAAATTGAAGTTGGTACAGATGCTTTGCCTATACACAATAGTGTTTATGTTCCTTGGTGCTATTATTAGTGCTGAACTACTGAAGGGAGTCAATCACCTCCAGCTTTGAACAACTTGGATATTCATTAACTGTGTGACTTAAGCCTTCTCATTTTGAGTATGCGTGTATACTTTGTCTATAGCCAACACTCCACTAGTGTAACTTAAAACAAAATAGTAATTTATTTACAATAGGAAAGATGTCAAAAATAACAGGAACAATATATAACAAATCCAAGATTTTTATGAAAAAGGCAAACAATATATACACGAAACAAAAGATGAAACAAAATCCATAAGGTAAACTTAATTTGACCTCAAACAGTTGCAGAATGTGGCAAAATGGTTTTTTTGATTATGATTTCCTTAAGTAACCCTGGGCCAACTAAAACACACACACATCTTTCTCAGGCCTTCTCTTTTAAAGGCTGAAATTTCCTCTGAACCCAATTTACCTTTAAGGAATTTAACTATGGGAGGCCACACAAGATTTAGTAAGTGCAGGCTATTTACATGTGTGCTAAAGGATATGTACTTGTTGACTTGGCAGGCTCACACTTTTAAAACAGCAAACCGACGGTATAAACTACCGTCGGGGTCCTATTCTTCTCTCTCTGTTCACTTCTGATTTTTTTGTGATTTTCTCATCTACCACACTAAATGTTGAACCAGTCATCTTTTAGGTTCCTCAAGTGCTCTAAAAGTTTCCTAAGCTTGAACAGGCATCAGAATCACTTGGAGAACATGTTAAAACAAAGATAGCTGGGTCGCACACCAGTTTCCCAATTCGGTAGGACTAGCATGGGGCTGAGAATGTGCATCTTTAACAAAGTCCCAGGACATTAAGATGCTGCAGGCCACACTTTGAAAACCACTGCTCTGAAAGATTGCCCCCCTTTAAGATATTGATTAGCCATGTTTTTCCTTACATGAATGCTAGAATTTGTGGGAAATGCAATTGTTAATACTGAGATTCCCAAGTAACACAGATGCACATTATCTGACTGGTTGGAATCACAGACAGGTTAGGTATCATCTGTTGGACGTTCCATTACAACTTAAGTTTTTCAGCATGCTATGGTTTTGTCCAATTTATGGCTCTGGATAGTGACATTCACCACATTCCCTTGGTCATTTACCTAAAATTCTGATTTATTGTTTCAACTATTAGGCAAACATTTGCTTGTCCATACAGCTGGAAGAACTGCAGAATCTTGTCTATAAAACCAAAAATGGCACAACTCTCTCTTTTGATTCCTGACATTTACTTAACTGCCGATTTTTAACTGCAGCAATGACCACTCTCTGTTATGTTAGCGTCTACTAGAGTCCTCTCAACTGGGCACAAAGGGGTAACTTGAGGGCACAATTTCTGCTGTGGAGGTGGTTACAGGCCCCACTGATTAAATATGCTGTGAATTAATACTGAAATGAACTTTAAGTGCTCTCAAAAACCACTTTATGCATAGGTAATTCATCTCAGAGGAATTGGAGATGCTAATAAAACAAATCCTTTATGAAGATAAAAGAAAAAATGAATTCTAAGGACATGCTCATCAAAGTCCTCACCAATCACCTCTTAACTTCTCTGAAATACTACTTGCAAATTCACAGGACTGAAATATTACCAGTATTTGCATCTGAGTCACAAAATTCAAAGCAATCAAGCACTTTGCGTTCCACTGCTGCGTAAAAGGAATTAAGAAATGGGGGGATGAAAATAATCCACTGCTTTTGATGTTTATTAGGTTTACAAAAACTGTACATTTTTTTTTCTTAAGAAAAATCATTAACTTAGTACTGGTATCAAATAGACTAAACATTCAATAACAGGAAAATATTCTGATTTTTATTTTTGCACGTTATTCTCAAGTACACAATTACAATAATGTCACACATCCCTATATGATTTTCTTTTTATGTATTTTACTTTTTTTACAAAGTATACAGAGGGAGGGACATACAATATTTAATAGGGTATTTCTACAGAACAATAACTTATATTATGTCCTTGTAAAAATCTGTACCTCTTTAAAACATTTTAACTGAAGCATCCTTGTCTTTTTAGCTTTGCTAATCAAAATTGTTTTAAGAATTAAAACTAGGGCTGTAACTAATGTCAGTACATAACAGTGACTACAATTTCATTTTCTCTTTATACAGACAAATACATTTTATCATATTCACTTGACCAAACCCTTAAATATCTTTTAAAGGTTTTAATATTGTGCTTTAAAAAGAAAAAAAAGAACTGTGTATGATTCCAGAGTATGTAAGAGAAATATAAAATGCGTGAAGTGTTGTGTTCTTTATCTTTCAGTTTATTTAAAAAAAAAAGTTAAATGATCCAATCATTTATATTTTCTGTATTAATTTTATAGGATTTAAAATTAATACACTTCCACTTTCATTTAAATGTTTTTACATTACTTCTGGGAAAAATAAAAATCAAGGGAGATTTTTAAAGTTCTCACAAAAAAACAGACAGAGCTTTCAAGAATCGCAGGGCAACGAATTACGAATCATATAATTTTAAGTTCGTTAAAAACAAAACGAAACAAAACAAAAAACAACAGCACATTATGTGGGCCAAGAAGGTACAGGAATTTGCTATGAGATAGGCTAGGAAAACCCATGCCTTGACTTTGACTGGCATTTAGGCTAGAGTTCACACCTGCCTAAAGCACTTGATTTAAAACTAGACTAAGTCAGTCTAACACTTCAGAGGCTTGCCAAACACCAAATATTTTGATTTCTAACCCTAAAAATATAACTCTTGAATACAAACATCAATGGCAAAGAGAAAGATGAAAGGTAAAAACCTAAGCACAAAGGGGATGGAGCACCATAATGAGGTGGCAAGGCAGATACTGAGTGGGAAGACAATTTCTAGTTCTCCTACAACGTGCTAGATGTATATAAACCAACAGCCAATTGAAGGGACCCCAAAAACTGTTTTCTGTTCTCCAAGATGTCTCAGCACAACCAAGTTCTAATCAACAGAGTTCGTTTTATGAACGTATGACACTGATTCAGAACTGTTAAAAAATGCCAACTCTCAAAAAAACTGTGGAAGACTTAGTGATGTTCCAAATAAGGCCTCAGACTTTCCTTATCCACTTAAAACACATCTTTACCTTTTCATCAAGACCAACTTGAATAAGTTTTTAAAGTTTGCTAACTGTAACTGTCTAAGAAATAACAGATCAGGCTGAACTTGCCAAGTGTGAAGTGGTAATTAGCACCCGTTCTCTGGTCCACAGAGCTACCGCTGCTTTTCCATCCCCCTCACTAGATAAGACAGAGTTCCCTCTCAGGCTTCTCAAAGAGAACTGTGGGAGTCATGCCTGGATACTCATTTGCTTTTCAAAAATATATAAAGACATGGAGCTGAAACTGTATGAAAACATTATACCTAGAAACATCTTAAGCTCTATTTTTCAATTACCAAAGATATTTAAAAGAAAATACCTTTACTCTTTAAAAATACTAGTGTCCTTATTTTCCTTCTAATTCTTCACCTGAGTAGTCTCTCTGAAGAGCATGACTTACAAAATGCTCTCTCATGCATCCCTGGATCTTTCATGTTATTGTAAATTTAATACTTTTAATTATAGATTTTAAACAACTACTACTTGGGGTCGTGTGTATAAATATGTAAAGTAAGCAATACACACAGGTACAAGATATATATGTGTATATATATAATTCAGGGTACATTTACATATATAAAGTTGCAAAAGATCCTATAAGCCACAAGTTACCTCAAGGAGATTCCAAACTGCAGTCCTCAGTACGTGTCATTTGCAGCACACAACCATTCCAAGACGAAGCCGCACAGACAGAATAATCAAAATACAACAGGATGAAGCAAAATTTTTCAACAAGGTTTTCTAAAAGTTTGCTATGCTGACAAAAGATGTAAATAATCCAAAGAAAGCCAAAAGAAGTATGATTTTATCTGCTAAACAAAATGAAAAGTAAACACAAACCCAGCCACTGTTCTTTACTCAGCAAAGCCAGGGACGCAAAAGCTCAAACGGCAACTTTCACTGTCAAGTGGTCTGAAAATATTAACCAAGACAAGTAAATGACTTCCATCTTATGATAATTAGACCTGACTGTAAAATCTCCCATTTATATTAGTAGATGTCTCTGACGATTTTATTGTGAGAAATGCATAGGGAAAAATAATGAGTCAACATGAATACTTTCAGAGTTACCAATGTAAAGTTACCTTAAGTTAATGGTCTTAGAAGAGTACCATCAAGGTAAGCAAGGTAAATATTTAAATAAATATAAAACTTCTAAGATATAAAAATTCAGTATAGAATCAGGGATTACTTTATTAAAAGTAACTAGCACGTTGCCAGTTTTCCCCATTTATTAAACAAACTGAATAGAATTCAGAACACACTACTGAACAAAATGTATATTAAAAAAAGTCAACTAGAAGCAGTAAATATATTTGTACACAGCATAAACCAATATACAGTATTGTATGTGAATGAGATTGATTGGCTTTAAAATGAATTTTCTGCTTCAAGGCCAATTATCTCTACAAACGTCTGCAGAAGTATCGTTAGGGCAGGCCAACTTCTTTATGATGTCGCATTATGTGCTGGTTCTTTTCTGAAGGTCTTCGGAAGCCTTTCTTGCAGTATTCACACCGGTGAGGATAGTCTTTTGTGTGAATGGAAATAACATGCCGTTTAAAGCCTGAGGCATCTGTAGTGCTATACTCACAGTACTCACACTGATACACTTTCCTGCCACTGTGTGTCTTCATATGCTTTTTAAGCTCATTCTGTTGCCTGAATCCCTTTCTACATCTCTTACACCTAAACGGAAGATCCTTTGTGTGAACTGAGAGAATATGGCGACTTAGAACAAAAGGATCTGCAATCTTAAAGTCACAATGTCTACACTGGTGCATTTTTTTGCCCTTGTGGGCAGCCACATGTTTCTTGAGTTCTGAAGGCCTGTGAAAGCCTTTATCACACATATCACACTTATGGGGGTAGTCTTTCGTGTGAACTGAAATTATGTGTCGTTTCAAATCACTCGAGTTCGAACTCTTGTGGTCACAATGCAAACACTGGTGTGTTTTGCTTTCTTGGTGGATAAGAGCATGTTGCTGCACCTCTTTGGTATCCGAGAAAGTCAGAAGACAAACGTCACACTTGAATGGCATCTCTTTACTATGCTTAGTTTTTACATGCGTTTTCAAGTTAGAAGAGTCTGCAGACCTGTATTCGCAGTACTGGCATTGGTACGGCTTCTCCCCAGTATGGATTCTCATGTGCTTTTTGAGCTCTGACGGGTGACGAAAACCCTTACCACACTCCACACAAATATGAGGAAAGTTCTTGCTGTGGACCGCCAAGAGGTGGCGATTCAATAGCCCTTGCTCAGCTGTCTCGTATTCACAGAATTTACACTTGTGCATTTTGTTGGCTCCTTTTTCCTTATGCACCATTTTGTGAGTAAACAAAGCCCCTGCGTGAGAGAAATGCTTCCCACACTCATCGCATTCGATGGCCTTCTCTGCCTTGCTGGTTAGCTTGTGGCTCTCCAGGTGGTTGTGTAAACTTATCTTCTTGTTGGTAGTGTAATCACAGTCAGTACAGCGGTACTTCTTCTTGGCAAGGTGTTCGGGATGGTTTTTCATGTGCCTTTTCAAAAAACCTCTCGACTTAAACTTCTTCCCACAAATCATGCAAGGATAGACAGTCAAAGGATGTCCATCAGGGCCAATAATTATTGCTAAGAAAGGGAAAGAAAGGAGTATCAGTGCTCAAACCAAGTTCTGTTCCAGTTTCTTCATGAATGTAACAGATATGTACTGACCACTGTTGGTCAAGGACTCCTAAGTTGGGCTATTTGCTACTTAGCATTCCTTTTACTGTTTTTCAACATGAGATATAGCAACCTAGTCATAAAGAGAAAATGGTCTGAAAACTTCATTCACGGGGACTGTACCACCTTCACTCCCTCTAGTTTAATATAATTAATGAATATGTAACTTCCATCAATTCGTGATTAAAGCTATAGCAATTTAGAAATTGGTGGAAAATTAGTTGGGTGCGGTGGCTCACACCTGTAATCCCAGCACTTTGGGAGGCCAAGGCAGGCAGATCATCTCAACTCAGGAATTCAAGACCAGCCTGGCCAACATGGTGAAACCCCATCTCTACTAGAAATACAAAAATCAGTGAGGCACGGTAGCACACATCTGTAATCCCAGCTACACGAGAGGCTGAGGCAGAAGAATCACTTGTACCCAAGAGGCGGAGGTTGCAGTGAGTTGATACTGTGCCATTGCACTTCAGCCTGGGCAACACAGCAAGATTCTGCCTCAAAAAAAGGGGGAAACTGGTGGGAAATTATTCGTAAAAATAAACTTGGTTACAAAAATTTCCACTGTTTATTCCAAAAACCATAACTTACATTAACTTACAGCAAAGTTTAAATATACCCATAAAATTTTTAATATGCAAATCATCATGTAAAAACAGGAATATGTCATAATGAACTAAAGTACTTATCCTGCTGCTCTGTAAATTATGCCTGCTTTATGCTGACATAATTAGATTCTCTAAATATGTTAAATTTTAAAAGTTAATGCTTGTAACATATTTGAGGGATTTCATTCCATGTACACATCAAACTCATCCAAGTTTTGAATTTTTCTCATCCATGTTTGAGCCATCTCCTGTTTCTTTTTATCCAAGGAAATCATTCATGAATATCAATGAATTCTGAAAATTATATTTTCAAGTTCAATAGACAAAGCTACATATGATCTAGCAGCTAAAATGCCATTGTGACACCCCTGTGGATACATACTAGAGTTTCCTCTGAGAGCTCGCAGAGCACGCTGCACCATGGAACTCGTGCGCCCTCACCTGTTTGGTACTGCCTGGAATCAGGTCTTCTCCTTTTCTTTGGTTTTTGTTTAGCCAGTCTGCCGAGGCCAGCAGACTCATCTATGTGCAAGAGGGCACTTGCAGTGCCATTCCGGTTTTCAATTCCATCAGAATTATTACCTGACAATGCGCATTAAAAAACAAAATTATACAGTATTATAAATTCTAAAGAATTAGGAATTCTTTATTAACTACAACAACGAAAAGTAAGCCATGATACTCATGAATGACAGAAATTCCCCATTCTAGGTCATGGGTTTTATGAGCACATTTATTATAGCGAGGACCGTAGGAAACGCCTAGCTTCCAAAGCTAAAAAATGCATGTCAGCATTTTGCCCCATGGACTCCCTTGTTGTCTCCCAAAATTATAAAGTCATGGGCCAAATATGATGAAAAGTTTCAGCCTGAAAGCCTGTGTACTTCTTGCAGTACTTCCTTCTACATAATATACACATGAAGAAAATTCCTGTTAAAAATAAAGACAAATAGTAGACTTTATACTCTTATTCAAATCAAATAATCCTTACAGGATACTGGAATTTCAGATTTCTGAAACCTAAGACCACAGAAACCATTATTCAATCATGGATTCATGTTCAAGAACCAAGTTCTTCAATGCTAAGAGCTGCTGGGCAACTTACCATAAGCTGCTGCCCATGCGATCGGCATGAAGGTTTTGATTTCATTGTCATCCATTTGCTGCTCATGCACAGCGGCAGCGGCTGCGGCGGCCGCAGCAGCATCTTCCTCTCCTACGATCACTTCCATATAAACTTCATCAGCGATTTCAGCAACATCTAAGTAGAAAGTTACAAAAACTTCTGTGACCAGGTTTACAGAGATCACAGTAAAGAGGTTTTTATTTGAATTCAGTTAATACACAAATAGAAAGAAGGTCCAAATATTACATACCTAGAACATAGCTTTCATGTAGTAAGCACTCAATAAATATTTGTTGAATGAATCATTCACTTCTTGGTTTTCACCATAATTTGGTTTTAAAGCAACATTATAAGCATACATAAAGAGTCACTGATGTTTCACTTGGAATGTAGTAGCATAATAATCTCTAAAATAATGCTACTTATTTCAAACATTGGCCACTTAAAAAAAGCTCCAGAAACATAAAATTTTCTCCCACAAAAAGGCCACCTACTTACTTAAATCTTCATCTTCTGGCTGAGAGTCATTGACAGTCATATAAACCATCTTTTCCCTGGGAACACGAATACTGCTGTTCTGATCAAGCAGTTCAACTCCATGATCATTCTCAGGCTCACTCTCCACAATGTCTACAGTTCCACCTATCAGGGAAGAAGACAGCTTCAATAATTTATTGAAAACTTCATTTCCACCTGTTTCTTCCTACATGCTTTCCTTATTACTTTTTACAAACTTTGCTTTTACTACACTGAAATTCTTATATAAAAGTTACTTCAGAAGAGACTCCAAATGTTCTCAATCTAAATAACCCAAAAGTAATCAGGCTGAAGCATTTGGATGCGAATATATAATGTCTAAACATTTCTTCTTACCTAAGTCATCTTCTCCAGGGTCAGCTTTAAAAATGTACACCTTGATGACCTCAGGGCAAGAACCATCCACTTTACAAGGATCAATTTCCGACTCTGTGTCCATGGTCATTCCAGAAGAACCATCGTGTTCTATTTTGCCAGCATCATCCACTAAAAAGGAAGGAAATAAATGACAAATAATAATAGCAGATATTTAAATAAAATATTACTGTTTGCAAAAGTTCTTTTACAAATATAATCTCTAACTTGATTCACATAAAATTGGATTTTACACCAGGCGCAGTGGCTCACACCTGCAGTTCCAGCACTTTTGGAGGCCGAGGCAGGCAGATCATAAGGTCAGGAGATCAAGACCATCCAGGCTAACACAGTGAAACCCTGTCTCTACTAAAAATACAAAAAAAGTAGCTGGGCACAGTGGCGCGTGCCTATAGTCTCAGCTACTTGGGAGGCTGAGGCAGGAGAACTGCTTGAACCCAGGAGGCAGAGATGGCAGTAAGCTAAGATCATGCCGCTGCACTCCAGCCTGGGTGACAGAGTGAGGCTCTGTCTCAAAATAAAAAAAAAATTGGATTTTACCTAGGCCAGTAGAAGATTCAATGAATATATTCCTAAAGACTTCTCAAAACGGAATCAGATATTAAAGCAAAAACTATACACAGAGAAAACTCTGCAGTAGCCTAGAAAACTGTAAGTAACAAAAGAATATACTTATAGCCTTTGCTAAGCCACAAGGTAAAAGCACCCCTAATTAAAGATTCAGTCTAATACTAAAATCTTAAAAGAACTGGCCAAGTGCAGTGGCTCACTCCTGTAATCCCAGAACTTTAGGAGGCCAAGGTGGTTAAATCACTTGAGGCCAGGAGTTCAAGACCAGGCTGGGAAACATGGCGAAGCCCCCATCTCTACCAAATTATATATATATATATCTCACACACAGACACACACACAAATTAGCTGGGCATGTGGCACATGCCTGTAGTCCCAGCTACTCGGGAGGCTGAGGTGGGAGGATCACATGTGCCTGGGAAGCAGAGGTTACGGTGAGCCAAGATCACACCACTGCACTCCAGCCTGGGTAACAGAGTGAGACCCTGCCTCAAAACAACAACAACAAAAAAACTTAAAAGAATGTCCTAGAGGTAAAATCAAGAAATAGTCTTCATAGAAATATTTTATAAGCACTATTTCATGGTCACTATTCTTGAATATCATTTGATATGATCTATTTCCAAAAGAATAATACATTTGAAAATAATCAAAATATGATTGCCAGAAAGGTATACTGCAATAAGATGGTCAACAGAAATTCAAGTTCAATCTGCTTAAATTTAAATATGCATAATGTATACAAACAACTTTAGTTTATCACAATAATGAGTCTAGGTCCTTGCTGGCAAATGCAGCAATGCATGAATTCAAACATATTCTCATACACCCATTGCCCTCATAAATGAAGGTATAGCCTACATATGTTAAAAAATGAATAAACGACAGAGAGACAGAGAAAAGGAGAAAGAAAAAAAAGAAAGAAAAATAAAAAGAAAAGAGATACATATGATTTCCAGTAGTAGAGACTCAGTAGATATACAACAAACATCACATTAATTTTTTAATTTTTTTAATTTCATATTTTATGTATTTGTTTATTTTGAAAGAGAATCTCTGACACCCAGGCTGGAGTGCAGTGGTGCAATCTTGGCTCATGCTGCCTCCTGGGTTCAAGTGATTCTCCTGCCCCAGCCTCTTAAGAAGCTGGGATTATAGGTGCCCGCCACCACACCCAGCTAATTTTTGTATTTCTAGTAGAGATGAGGTTTAATCATGTTGGTCAAGCTGGTCTCAAATTCCTGACCTCAAGTGATCCACCCACCTCGGCCTCCCAAAGTGCTGGGATTATAGGTGTGAGCCACCACGCCTAGCCAAACATCACATTTTTAAAGCTTTGTAAAAGTAGCCAAGGAAGTAAGTGTGCTGTTATTCACAGGACCTGGAAAATAAAGTCCCCCAAAATGATGTCTTCAAATAACAGACTCTGATTTTGAATACCAAAAGCATAATCCCCATATAATGTAGCCTTATGTTACACAGTGACATCTCTAGCTCAACAAAAAGTGTGGCAAAGACTAATGAAAAGTTCGCACCCAATTCAATTTAGTTTATCACAAAAGCTGGATTTTTCAATATTGAGTCCATTAGTGAAACACTGAAGGAATGTTCTCTCTGCTCTAGGCCCAACAGGCCTATGTGGCACAGTAGAAGACTAACTAGAGGGGATCAGGACTGAGTCCCAGAAAAGGCGGCTCACTGAGCTTGTCCGAAATGCCCACAACAAGCCTTTTCATTTCCCCTCTGCCCTTTTAGTTTCCTTTCTGGTGTTCCTCTACCAGATATATCTGTTTTCCTTTTGGGTGGACAGTAATGTTTTATTCAGTTCAACAAACAGTGAATCACAACTGTATTAGACTCTAGGCTAGGTACTGGAGATGCAAACATGAAAGTCAAGGGCTCCAGAAGTTTGGTCTTGTAGGAAAGTGGACAACAGCTATTTTTAAATGCAGTAATAATAATGCAGCTACCACTTACTAAATGATTATGGTAAGTACTATTCAATATTTACAACCCTGTGAGGCAGGTGGTACAATATTCTCTACATTTTACAGTGGAGCAAACTGAAGTTTAGAGAGGTTGAATAACTAATCTGGAGTCACACAATTCATATCTCAAACTACGTTAGTCCCAATCAGGACTCATCAACTTCTGGAATTTGGAGCATAGGGTTTAAATCGGTAGAGGCCAACTGTGATTTATGAAATATAAAAAAAATAGTATAACAATCTAAACATGCTTTCTTTTCATGGAAATCAAATGAATGTGCTCATGACTCAAGCAGGCATAATCAGTATTGCAACCACAGCTGGGTAGTGGTAGTTCTGACCACTGTAACTTTTAAAATTCAGTCATCCCTTGTGTAATTTACACCTGTTATACCAAGACAGAACTCAGATTCTGACATCTTCGAAATGATACTTCTGCCAATCCTGTCGAGATCTCTATCAGATCCAAAAGCTGTGTTTACCTAATCAAAATTCTTACACAGAACATCAAGAATGAATCTAGAATCTCAAAAGCCAACATTCAAAAGCAGAAATACGGCCGGGTGCAGTGGCTCGCGCCTGTAATCTCAGCACTTTGGGAGGCCAGGATACTCGGATCATGAGGTCAGGAGTTAAGAGACCAGTCTGACCAACATGATGAAACCCCATCTCTACTAAACATACAAAAATTAGCCAGGCTTGGTGGCACACGCCTGTAATCCCAGCTACTCAGGAGGCTAAGGCAGGAGAACTGTTTGAACCTGGGAGGCAGAAGTTGCAGTGAGCCAAGATTGAGCCACTGCACTCCAGCCTGGGCAACAGAGTGAGACTTTGTCTCAAAAAAAAAAAAAAAAAAAAAAAAAGGTGAAAATACAGTGACAATTTCTCAACTTAACTTCTGACTTATTGAGAAACAAGACTATCTACATCCCAAACAAATTACTGGCAAAGAAAGGTTGAAAATGGCATCCCCAAACCTTTGTCATGTGCAAACATAAAAATTATAAAATTTCATCAGCTTGCTTTATATGCAAAGTTCAAGAATCCCAAACTCTAGGCCACTGACAGCAGTTGTTGTTTTGGTCTATTTTTGACATCATTAATCAGCAAACGAGATTTTAATACACCTTCAGTTTCAAAACCAAACAAGTCACTTAAAAATGCACTTGTTCATAAATTATACTTTTCCTTACATACTATTCAAATGAAGGTCATTTATGAGAAAAAAGCAAAAGCTTGCTTATATACATTGTAAGATGACATTAAAGTTGAACCCTTTAATGCAAACTTTAATAAATTGATATAGAAAATGTAAGAGGATGAGAGAAATGACTGGCAAACATCATTGTGCACTGTGCACTGATCACTGCCATGGGAACAAAGGAACGATACCTCACTCAGGTTGGGAGAAAGTGAAGGGCACTTAATTCAGGTAAAGGGACAAATGCAGGGAGACACAAAATGGCGTGATGGTAAGGGAATGCATGGTTCAATATTGCTGCAATGTGAGGGTAAAGTGTGTCACAGGGCATGGCAGGAAATGCAGCTGACTGCTAAGCTGAAGCCAGGTCATGAAGGGCCTCGTGCACAAGCAGAGGGACTCGGACTTTATCCTCGCAGGCCAAGGGTCTCAATCTGGTCAGGTGTCAAAATCTCTTAGGGAATTTAAAAGCAAAGCATCCAGTCCAGCAGCTCTACAGAATCAGAATCTGCAGGGCTGGGATCCGATATATATGGACAGATTTAGGGGCGCCCTGCCTCTGGGACTCTTGATAGGCAGGAGAACATCTACTGCAGGGATTGGGAGATTTTCAGGCAGAGCAGTGACTAAGGCAGATGCCCATTTTGCTGGTCTTGGAAAGGTAGATCCAAAGAGATCAAAACATGAAGCTGACTTAAGTCTACTACACTAATGCAGGTGATGATGAGGCTTTGAATCAGGACAGAGGTAGTACAACTGGGGGAGTGGGCTGGACTTGGGGCCTATCTTGGGACTAAAATGAGTAGAACTTGGTATCTGACTGAAAACCCAACATGACAAAGGAGCCAAGGCAAACTGGGTGTTTTTGTTTTGTTTTTTGTTTTTTGTTTTTTTTGAGACGGAGTTTCGCTCTTGTTACCCAGGCTGGAGTGCAATGGCGCGATCTCGGCTCACCGCAACCTCCGCCTCCTGGGTTCAGGCAATTCTCCTGCCTCAGCCTCCTCAGTAGCTGGGATTATAGGCACGCGCCACCATGCCCAGCTAATTTTTTGTATTTTTAGTAGAGACGGGGTTTCACCATGTTGACCAGGTTGGTCTCGATCTCTCGACCTTATGATCCACCCACCTCGGCCTCCCAAAGTGCTGGGATTACAGGCTTGAGCCACCGCGCCCGGCCTAAACTGGGTGTTTTTAACTTAGGTGACTGAGTGACTGGGGTAAGAAATGTGAGAGCAATGAGGAAAAGGATCTCTCTTCCTGCATGTTTGCTTAATTAACTTAAGGTCCCAAGGATAACATCCTCAAAAGCCCTCAGAACCAGCGCTTGTCACTATCACATTGTGCTCATGGCA